CCCCATCCCTGTGGTGCTCAGCAGCACATCCTAGTGCTTCCCTCAGACTCCCAGGGTGGCCTTTCCTGTGTCTCATGCTCTCCTCCTCTTTCTGACCTCCATACACGAAGAACCCACCACTCAGCACTCATTCAGGTTTTCTTGTTTTGCTCCATTTTTTTCCTTAGATGGGGAAAAAGGGTTAGATATTGCCAATCCTGGGCCTCACCATTTCTTGTCTGTCCATAACCCTTTCTGCTGCAGTCCTGCCTCCTTGTGCTGATTCATGCCCTGCTACTGCCTGTGCTCACCCAGCCTCAGAACCATCTTACCATTCTTTTAGAATCTGTATCAGGTCATGTCATTTCCCTGCTGAGTGACATTTAGTGTTCCCTTCACACACACACACACACACACACGCACCACTGATGAGGGTTAGCCCTTCCACTTCTCGGCCTCCCCCATGCCAAACATGCTGGTTACCTCTGCCTGCATCTTGCAGAGCCAGGCTTTGCTCATCCCTCCAGTCTTGCTCAGAGAAGCTCTCTGGTGGCCCAATTAGAGCAGCCCTTCCCAGTCACTTCCCATCCCCTGGGCGCATCTGTTCCACACCTTGCATCTGCAGATATGTGATGCATTGTCTGTGTCTGTGTTGTATGTCATCTCACTATGTCTCGTACACACAGGATGTTCAGTTGTGTTTATTCAACAGAAGGTTGTGTTTCTTTAGTTCCCACTTTCTGGCCTATGAGATGGAAGCATTATGCCCCATGGTAGCAGGTGCCTACCTGCCTTAAAGTCCTGCATTTGAGCACCCAGCACTCTTCGAGGAACCCCTTGGGCTGCCCTGCAATCCCAGTCACCCACCAGCCTGGGCATGGGCATCGCCTCTTTGCCTCTGAGCACATCTAACAGATTAGAATTTTCTAAAGAAGCTCCACCAAAAAATTGAGGAAAAACTAGAGACCTTAATAAGGCGAAATCAAAGGCCCAGATAGGGTCCAGTAACAGGCTGAGGATTTAGCCAGAAGCCTATAGGCCAGGCCTCCGGGCCTGCCATAGCTGCCCCTTGGAACCTCAGGTGATACCTTCTCCCACATAGTGTTGAGAAGGCAGAAGGCTGGCATCTAAGGTCAGGGGTCTCCATGTGCATTCTTGAAGGTCTATGACTGCCAGCCTGGAAGGATGCTCAGGGTCTCTTCCAAAACTTTGTGAAATGGGCTCCAGGGCCCACCCTTGATTTTTTTATTCAGGATGCCTACCGTGGGACCCTGTGTCTGAACTTTTCAAATCACCCAGGTGATTCTGATTAGAAGAACTTATATTTGTTCTAATGTAAGGCCTCCTAAACTTGACACAAGACCTCCTAAACTCCACTCTGACACAAGGCCTCCTAAACTCCACTCTGGCAGAGAACAAGGGTAGTCTCTTCACACTGCCTAAGCAATATGTGTCCCTCTCTGTCTTGGTCCCCACAACCTATGCCTTCTTTTTCCTTAGGGAGATTCTGGGGGTCCCCTTGTCTGCAAACTGAACAGTACCTGGTTTCTGATGGGGCTTTCCAGCTGGAGTTTGGCCTGCCGCCAGCCCATAGGCCCCAGTGTCTTCACCAGACTCACTTACTTCTCCAGCTGGATCAGTGAGAAGCAGAGAACCTCGCCAAATCCTGATCCTTCTTCTGCTCCTCCTCAGAGCAAACCACCTGCTTTGGATGACTTTACCTCTCTGGGCACTGTTCACAAGCCCAGGAGCTGCACAACGCTGGTGTTTTCACAGACCTTCCCTCTGCTTCTGATTTCCCTCAAGGCTCTGTGACAGACCTCATAGTGCTTCTCTCAGTATTCTTCCACAAGCATGCCTGCTTTACTGTCAGTGGGCCCTGAATTCTCCTGAAATCTGTCCATCTCTGAGCTCTCTTGTCCATCTGAGGTCTGCTCTAGGACTAACAAAATAAAAATAATTTAACAAGTTTCCTGCTCCTGTTTCTGACCTACTAGAGCCAAATATCACCCTCACCCCACTGGACTCCAAGCTCCTCAGTACAGGAAGGTCTCCCTCCTCCTTGGACTGGGCTGGAGAAAAACAAGGACAACACAGGGTGGGTTGGCCATCTGGAGATGGGCCACTCTCCTCAGGGAGTCTTCCAGAAGAGCTGGCAGATTCAGGGGCCAGGGCCTCACCCTGTGAAGGAAGTGGCATGCCCTAGGGCCTGTGGGGTGCTGATGGTCAATATAATGGGGACAGGGTCCTCCTAGAGATGGAGCATTTTTTCTGAGTTGGGGATGAAGAAGAATCTTCCAGGCCCAAAAGTTACAGGCTCTACTTGAAAGTCTCTATTTGAAGTAGACTGTTAAAGGTGCCAGCCAGCAGCTTTCAGAGCTCTGCTCCAGGGACTAGCTCTTAGCCCTTTGCCCTGGGGTCATCATCCATTCTCTTTGAACTCATAAGGACTTCATCTCTTCTCTAGTGCATAGTACCAAACAGAGTGACAGAGTAGCTACTAACCCATAGGGAATATGAGCACACATGACAAAATAACTGCACACCTGAGGAGTATGATTGCCTCTTGAGAAATACAAAAGATTGAACACTGTATATCATTTGAAATAGAGTTATTGGAACAGACAGGCCAAAAAAACTTAATGAGCACAATAAATATACTTACAGATTTAGGAAATTATAATTAGCAATAAAACCCAAGACAAACCACAGAAAAGAACCAAGTGAAAATATTACAAATGATAAATATAATAGTTGAATTAAAGATCACAATAGAATGGGTGAATGATAGGATAAATACAGATGAAAAAAGAATGCAATCATTACTTTGTATGAACATTACAAAGTATGGGCTTTGGAGTTGGTGCACTTAGGTAAGGTAATTTATACAGAAGAACTAATTACCAAGGTATGATTGGGTGTAAGGAAAAGAGGAGGCCCAGTGCAAAAGCTTGGCATAGGCATCAGTAACCGAGCTGTTGCCACCCCTAGGTTCTAAGAGACTGGGGAGGGGGAGCCATGGAGAGAAGGCTGCCTTGAAAGAAGTAGGGACCTGCAGCTGAGGGACACAGCTAGCTGAGAAAACTGACAAAAAGGGTTTTCATGGAAATAAGCCCTGACCACTTTATTCTCTTTCTCACATTTTCAGTTGAAGCTCCCCATTGGCTGAACCCAACTGCAGCCAGAGGTCATAGGAGCCTATTGATGCCTTCCCACTTCCTGCTCCCATCTCACAGATGGAGTGGAAGGGTTGGAGAGTGCCTTGGAAGCACAAGTGGGTGCTAACTACTACAGATGGTCTAGATTATTTGGATCAACTCTCCTGCTTTAAAAAAATAATATACTCCTACATTTTATTAATTCTTTTTTTTTAAATCTTCATAAAAGCTTTGAAGAGGTAGAGAGAACAGAGATCTGCCAGGCCAAATTCTGGTGGAAAGTGCAATCAGAATATAATCAGAATATCTGAAGCCCAAAGTTGTTTTTGCTGAGAGAGTATTCTTATAGCTGATGACTGGGCTTCAGCAGACATCTGCAAAAGCAACAAGAAGGAATCTGTATTAGTCAGGGTTCTTTAAAGAATCAACTGTTTATCTATATAGAAAAAGTAGGTGATGATGATCAAATAGACAGATGATAGATGATTGATGATAGATGATAGATAGATAGATGATAGACAGATGATAGATGATGGTGATAGATGAGAGATATAGATAGATATAGATGATGATGATGATAGATAGATGAT